AATGCTATCATAGCAAGCTCTTAGTCAAAGTTCAGTTGTTGTGTTGTTTTTTGGAGTTGCATCAAAGCTGCATTTATACAATAGGGAATTTTTATTAACACTGCATGTAGATACCAACAGCACCCGAGGCAGGCAGCCGGGCGGGTTATGACCCAGTTCTCCAGCAAACGGTCCAGAAAACATCCTAATTGGGGAAGCAGCTGCGGCCACCTGATGCTGTCAGACAGAGTGCTCTGACCCCGACCTTGACTTCCTTCCCTCCTGCTTCTGACACCAGCTAGGAATTGTGCTGGAGCTCAGGGCGAGAGCTGAAAAGCCAAAGGTAAGTGTGCCTGGGAGTAGCTGAGCCCAGTCCCAGCAAGGACGTCTGTTGGTTAGTATAAAACTTCTAACTGGGGAGAGACTGGCAGGAGACATGGGGCGAATCCCCGGGCTCAGCACCGCAGCCGCACAAGAAGGCTGCAATGGTGCTACGGGTGGTATGCCTCCACCGGGTGATGTGTGGGTCCATCCTAGGCTTTCACTTGTTTTATCTGCTTTTCAGAAATTGTGACAACCATGCAGAAAGGACTGTTGCATATTATTCAAAAGAAAGGTACTGAACTGAACTCCTGACTTGGTGTTTTGTGTGGTGTTTTTGTTGTTGTGGGGAAGAGGCTTGTGGGATCTGAGACCAGGCACTTGCATGTGCCAGGCAAGCTCTGTACCAGTGTGCTGCACTCCCAGTCCCTAGATGTGGTTTCCTCTAATGGTCTGAGCATCCTGGGAGACAGTGTTTGCTGGCACACCAGAGCTGAACTAAGGGACACTGCTGCAGGTGAGCCCTGGGGACCCACAGACCCCAAGGCCCTCTTCCTTGCTTCCTTTCCACAATGTTCCTGAGGTCACATGAGAGGGTTATCAGACACTGGACAGTGACACTGGAGAGTCTGGGCCATGAGCTTGGAAGAGATCAATTTGCATTGGCAACCCAAGTTGGGGGCTTAGCCCAAGCCCCTCAGCCCAACCCCAGGGTGAGGAGCAGGCCCAAGTACTGTTCTTTTCTGCCACTTCAAACTGGATCTGGCAACTGTGTGGAGTCTGACTTTTCCCCAAAGTCAAAATGACTACAAAAGGTAAGTGTTTGGAAGTGATTCAGGACATGGGGGCAGCCACACTACACAACTAAAGACACTCATGAAAGAGGACTTCCAGAGCTGCTTCAGTGGGCTGGGGAGACAGCTCAGCCACACGGCGCCTGCCTGGTAAGCACAAGGTCCTGAATTTGAGCCCCAGTGCAAAAAGAAAAGATTACTCCTAATTCAGAAGTGCTTCAGCAAGTGGCAAAAATGAGAGCGAAAGAGGAGATATTTGAAGTCAATTAATGGCCGTACATCTTTTACTGTGAAAATTTTTAATTTTAATATTCACTGTCATTTTTATCATGCCTACATATGTTGTATGTTTATTACCATAAAATTACTGATCGTGTTGTTGAAATAATTTTGTATTCCTACATTTCTATCTGCTTGAAAAGTAAAAGACTTCTATAATGATAGATTTATCCATTCCTAGTTGAGAATGTGTTAATTTTTGCTTTATGGATTTTGAAGTTGTGTTATCAGGTACATACAAATTATAGTTCACACACTCATGGACATTTTATCATTACATGATGACCCTTGCATTTTGTCTTAGTCTATTTTATCAGTGTAGTATGTCAAAACCAGCTTGTCATGATTTTTTAATCCTCTTACTTGAAGTTTCATTGCTGCATTTTTAGGTGGGTATCTTAATAAACTGTGTACACCTGGGTTTTATTTGTGTGTCCATTCTGACATTCTGTCTTTTAACTGGAGAGATCAAACCCATCTTATACATAGCGAGCATGGATTCATTTGGCTTTATTTATAACATCACCACTCATTTAACAAATGCAGACTTAGCACCTGCTAGCAGCCAGACTCTGATTTAGACCCTGGAGAAGCACAGAGCTAGATATTAACAGGAGTTTAGACCCTGCATGGGTGACAGGGACTGTGTCTGGCTGGAATCAAAGATTTGTCTGGCTGCTATTCTAGGGATGGGCAAGCGGGAGACAGATGAGGAAACCAGTAAGGACCCCGAAGTCATGCAGGTGGGAGCTGCAGCCTCCACCCTGGGGTGAAGGTGAAGGGTGAGAAAAGGCGTGATTGGGCAAGTGCCCTGATGCGAGCCCACAGGGCTCAAGCCGCATTGGACAACATGCTTCCACTTTCAAGGACAGTGAGGTTGGGAACAAGGAGCATCCCTGCACAGACCAAGGAGCAGAGGGGGTGGTGCAGAGAAGTCCAATTCCCCCTGTGGATGGGTGGCAGGAGGAGGATGCCTCCAAGACACAGCACCCCTGACCCCGACTGCAGCAGCCCTTGGGCCTAAGAGAAGGCTAAACTACGGGGCTTCGGGGAAGAGATGTCACCTGCTGCCAGGAGTCACTGCGCAAGATGATACAGGACCCCAAGTAGATGCAGGGCACCCTACAAACTCAGTTCTGGACAGCACACCCTGAAAGGTAAGAAATGCAGGAAGATTTGGGGCTCTTTGCCAGGAAGGGGAGCAGGGTCCTGAGAAGTCAAGGAAGAAAAGGCTGCAGAGAAAGGAATAAGCAACGACTTCATGTACAGCTGGGAGGACAGGAAGAAAGGGCACAGCCCCAGTGCACAGGGCCAGCCCTGTGGACACAAGTGCACACACATGCACATGGACACATGCACGCACACACGTATGCTCTTACGCACACAGGCATATGCACACACTGGCACACGCACACACACACACACACACACGCGCTTCATTCATTCCATAGTGCATCAGTACATCGCTCTTGTTAATTTTCCTAAACTCTTAATAACCTAACTCCTGACCCAGGCATGGCAAAGCATGCCTATAATCCCAGTTCTGTAGGAGGCTGAGACAGGTATAATACAACAATTTCGAAGACCCTAGCTCAAAATTTAAAAATAGAAAAGAACTGAGGATATAGCTCAGTGCAAAGGCCCTGGGTTCAAACCCTAGCACAACACTCACCCACCTGTCCAAAAAAAACTGGCTCCGAAACCCTTCTCGGCCCTGTCCGAGGCTTGGCAAGTCCTTCTCCTTTCCACAGAGGAAAGCAGTAATGACAATGAAGAGATTCGACAAGGAAGGGGGGGAGGCCAATTCATTTTCTTAATGACTCATATGGTTATGCAGATTTTTATTAATATGTTGTTGTAATAGCTGACATGGCCAGCTATTGTCACAAGCTCTTTCCTGGCCTTATGCCAGGAACTTATCCCAGGCCTTATCCTTATCTGGCAAACTTCTGTAACAAACCAGACAGTAAATATTTTCAGCTCCGCTGTCACAGCCAGCCGACACAGAGCAGGAACTCAGGGCAGTGTGTCAACAACTGCGTGCGGTCAGGCCCAGCACAACCTTGCTTATGGAGAGGAAAATTCAAATTTCATACAATTTTAACATGTCACGAAACATTATTTTTTCCACCATTTAAAAATGTCTAAAACACCCTTAGGTCCTAGGCTCTGCAGAAGCAGGCAGTGGGCTGGATTTAGCCCAGTGGTCCCCTTGCCCTATGGAGTAGCCACTGTGAGTACCCAGAGTTCCCCAGTGATGAAGAAACTGAGGCCTCCTAGGGTGACAAGATGGAGAATGACAGAGCACTGACTGACAGGTGTGTGTCCTGTGGGTCCTACACCCGTAACCCATGATCCATCTCAGGCTACTGAGCATGAGGGTAATGGGCAGGCACTCCCTTTAGATTAGAAAACTTCTTACCGCAAAAGACACATTGCTATGAATTCCTCTCAAAATACTGTCTCTCACCTCAAACATAATTCTTCCGTCACTCTTGCCACTTTCTGAAACAGTCCTGGAAATCCTCTTTCAGGAGGGTCTTTACAAAGTGTGATAAAGAATACAGTGAGGGTTGGAGAGATAGCTCAGCAGTCTAAGCATCTGCCTGGCAAGTGCAAGGACCCAGGTTCAATCCCCAGTACCACATACCATGCTGGCCCTGCCCCAGGCATGCTGTACGAGCCCCAAAGACTGAGAGAAGATTACTATGAGTCCAAACTATGTAGTGTGACTCTGTAATAAATAAATAGTTTTTTTTTTTTAAAGAATGCAGTGAATGCTGCTGTCCAGGGCCATCCTACAAAAAGGCAGCCTGGTAAAACCATTGCAGAGTACCCATCCTCCTTACCCGTTCTATACCTTGTGACTTCTGGTTCTCTGCCCCCCAAGTCAAGTCAACCATGAAAGGAAAACATATTTAATTTATTCAAGGCATCAACGCAGGCACTACCACACATAAAGGCACTCATGAAACAGGACTTGCACAATGGCTTTGGAAAGTGGCAGGAACGATGGGATAAGTGTGCTTGAAGTGTGCAGGACGGGGGTGTCTGAAGATCAAGGCCAATGTGTCTTTTACCATAATAGTTCTTTTTATTTAAACACACAGCACTTCTCAATCACACCTCTTCTATCAGTCCATTTGCCACCCTGCACAACAGCACTAATCCTATGACTGCCTCTCTCTCTGGGGGTAAGCACGGTGCTTCCAAGCCTCCCAGTTCTCCCCTGCTGCCCTTACCGACACAGCAATCATTTGCAGATAGTGGAGCACACAGCCCATAAAAGATGATGCTTTATTTTCATTGATCCAAGGTCAGCAGACATCTCTACTGTAATTATTTACTTATCTATGCATGTCCTACAATGCTCCTGAAAGGGTTGCAGGTAACTGTGAGCATGAGAACCTCATAAATAAATGAAGAAGTTACAAACGGGTGATGTTTAATCTTTAAACTAAAGGTCTGGGGCACACCCTTGTGGAATTATTAATTTGAGGGGTTTTTTTCTTCTTCTTCCCACACTTAAACAAGAAAACCAATTCAGCTGAAGGTAGGCTTTTCAGCTTCCGGGCAGGCACCTCAAATTTCTGCTAAGGTGTTGAGGGTCCCCTTCTCTAATCATTGCTCTGTGTTTTTCCTAACAAGTTATTTGAACAATGCAAAACATGATCAGGCACAATCTGTATGTTCAAGACTCCTACTACCTCTGAACAAAGTCATTCTAGATAAATCCATCACTTCAGAAACGTCTCTATGGCCCTGTCTGTTTCTCTTAGTTTTCAGAACGTCTCCAGGGGCAACCTGCCCCAGGACCTTCGCAGCTTCCTTGTTCCCTGCTCACAACCACCCAGCCTCAGCTCAACGGCCACTTGTCCTCCAGGGCTTGCCGGGAGAAGTCTTCCCTGACCACAGAAAGATATAAGCAGTCTCCCCTTTGTTGGTCTCCTTCGTGGCCTCTGACTCCTCCTGAACCCTGATCGCGGTCTGGAACAGTATAATTTATTTGTGGTTTACAACATCTTTATCTATCCTCTGCTTCATATGGGACAAAAGAAGCTGTATTTGGTTGTTTGGTATTAACAGATTGAACCTAGTGCCTTTGCCCTGAGTTACATTCCCCACACTATTTTTTATAAAGTTGTTTTTAATGTATTTGTTACAGAGATTCACTATGCAGCTCAGATTTACAGTGATCCTTCTGTCTCAACCTCCCCAGCACTGAGATTACAGGCCTGCATCACCACGCCCAGTCTTGGTGGCCTACTCAGAATGCCCAGGGCAGACATGCCATGTGGTACCAGAGATTGAACCCAGGTCCTTGTGCTTGCCTAGGCAGGCATCTAGACCACTGAGCTCCACTCAGCTCCATAGACCACTATCTCCATGGTCCTATTTCATGTATGTATGCTTGTCTGTTTGTTTATTTTCAGGTCTTGCTAAACTGCAGAGTTGCCCGGACTGGGCTCAAACTTGAGATCGTCATGCTTCAGCCTCCCAGATTGCTGGAGTCATAGGCTCATATCTGGATATTTTTTTTTTTGATGGTTGTTGTTGGTCACTATATCCCTACACTTTACACAGACTATAGCACACAGTGGGTACATAATAGATACATACAGGATGAGCATGTCATGATGTGACAGGAGGGCGTGTCTCAGTGGCTTCTCTTCTTTCACCTCCCCTCAGCCTAAAGCAAATCCTACCAAACTTAGTTTTATATTTGGGCAGTTGTTTAACTTTTTCATTTTGATTTCAAAAAACAAAAACAAATGACATTTAAATAAACAAAGAAGGTCAGGGAGATGGCTCAGTGGAATAAGTGCTTCCCTGGCAAGCACAAGGGCCAGAGTTCAATCCCTGGTTCTGCAAAAAAACAAATAAATAAACAAAGAAGGGGGCCACTGGCCTTGCTAAAAGACAGCCTATTTTATAGGATTGTGAAAAATGAGGTTGGCTGGATAGACAAGATGTGAATGTAATGGCTCACACTAAAGCCAGAGCCATGAAATCTATGCTCCTTGCACAAAGAAAGCGGCCTGCTGGAGGGATCTGCACATAGAGGCTGCCTTTACTATCAGCTCCACAACAATCCAGTAGGAAAGAATACTCCTCTATAAGTGTTCCTGGGGCACTGAATAGCCACTCAGAAAAATCCTGCTCCTGGCACTTACCTTATACCATGCCTGAGAATCTGATTTATCTGAGACAGGGATCAGATCAATGGATCTGAATGCAAAAGGAATATCTAAAATGTTTCCAGAATAAAATCTAACACACCTTTCCCAGGATACTGAGGTATGCAGAAGTGTGTGTTGCTCAGCTTTTCATCACTGGGTTGAGATACGCAACATCTGTAACCTACAGGAGGAATGGGGTCATTCTTTCTCATGGTTTCTGAGGTTGCAGTCCATGGTCTGCTGAGTGCAAGCCAGGAACATCACAGTAGAAGGCTGTGGTGGAGCCAAGCTGCTCAGTTCACAGTGGCAGGGATACAGGTCAGGTGAACAGCACCCCTAGGAAGAGCGCTGCCTGAGAAAGGCAACCCCGTGACCCACCTTGTCCACCTGAGCCACCACCCAAGGGCACATTTAGTTGTGACATCAGTGGATTTGTGCCCTGGTGATTCTGTCAACCCCATGCACTCACCTCCTCGGGAATCTCATAGTCCAGCCAAACTTATGAGCCAGTTTAACCATCACAAGGTGCTTAAAATAGACACAAAAAGGACTCACCACAGAAAAACAGGCTGTACTCAAAAACTGCTCTTCAAACCGAAAACTCTGTCCAAACAAGACATGGTGGTGCATTCTTGTAATCCCAGCTACCTGGGGCAGGAGGCAGGAGGATGGCAAGTTCAAGCCCAGCTGGGTGTATATCCCAGCTGGGCACAAAGGCCCTGGGTTCAGTCCCCAGTACGGGCAGGGGGCTCTTTGCATTAGGGATCAGAAACAGCAATCCAATGACATAAAGGAAACATTTGTAATGTACATCTATGCAAAAGGACTCACACTTGTACAAAGAAGAAAAGGAAAATCCAAATGAAATATGAGCAATAGATTTGAACAAACATTTCACAACAGAGGTGTTACGGTCGGTGTCTAGATTCCACCGCCCAAGGCCTCATGTAGTCATGGTGCAGGCTTCCAGAGTTTTTGATTAATCCATAGTCCAATGCTGGGATTATGGGTGTGAGTACTACACCCACTGGAGGTCAGGTAGCCTGCATATAGATAAGAACAGGAAAGAGGCTTATTCTCTGCCACTCCTCCCTGTTGCTCTTGTTGCTTTTGCTGTGTTCCTCCACCATGAACTATTGCCCTCTGCCATGTACCACTCTGCCTTGGGACCAGCTGAGTCTGGCCTGAAACCTCCACTAATGGCGAGCTAAACAAGCCTTTCCTTCTTTAATTTTGGGTGTCAGGCATTTTGTCCCAACAATGAAAGAAAAGTAACCAAGACAAGAGGATATCCAAATATTCATCAGTTTATAAAGTATGTTCAGTGGATGAGAGACCCAGAGCGCAGGCCCGGCGAGTGAGTGAGAGGACCTGGGCCCTCTGGATCCAAAATAGACCCAGAGCGCAGGCCTGGCAGTGAGTGAGACTGCCCGGGGCCATGGGATCCTGAATAGAACCACAGCGCAGGCCCAGCATGTGAGTGAGACAACCCGGGTCCCGCTGGATCCTGAATAGACCCAGAGTGCAGGCCTAGCAAGTGAGTAAGATGACCTGGGGCCTAGGCCCGGCATGTGAGTGAGACCACCCAGGGCCCACAGATCTTCATTTGACCCAGAGTGCAGGCCCAGCA